GGCCTGGATGCTAGACTCTGCCATGGGATGGTGTGGGGGCAGGGTTCCTACTGGAAGGATGACACGAGGTTGTACCCTTCAGTACTTCTCAGGACCAGTGTGCCATGAGGTACACGTTGGGGTTAACCCAGAGCCCGGGATGCGATGACGAGTGTCCTAGATGGGATGGACAGCCAGAGCAGAGGGTGCGGCTGGTCTGGCTGGGTCCACGAGGCTCAGAACAATCAGTGCCTGAATCGCGGTGTGAGGGTCGGCTGACAGTGTTTTCCGTATGATGTACAGAGGGAAGGATGTGTCAAGATGCGAGTGGGGGTAGAAACCAGGTCCTATTCGAGGAAGGTGTCAGTACCTGGTTCGCGGCGCAGTGCCCAGATCCTGGAGCACCTAAGGCCAGCCCTGGGATGTGGGCCTGGGGTGGAGAAGCGGTGGTGATCAAGGCTGCGAAGGGTCAGTGTCAGGGAGGGAGGTGTCTGTACCGTCTAGGGCAGGCGGGGCGGGTCCGTGTCAGCCAGGCCCCGGGTGACAGGAGGGAAGCCCCGGGTTTTGCCGCTGACCCTACCTTGCCGCGGGTGCAGCGCACGGAGCGCAGGGCGCCGAAGAAGATGGGCAGCAGCGCCATGAGCAGGAGGCTGCCGTAGGCCAGCGCGATGCCCTCGGGCGTGGAAGGCGGCCGCGTCGTGCCGTTGGCCGGGCTGCTTGCCTCAGCGCTGCCGTTATGTGGGTCGTTGAGGGCCGTGTCCATGGCGAGGCTGCCCTCCGGGTCCGACTCCAGTTCCGGCCGCCGCAGCAGAGACGCAGATGGAGAGACGAGCGCTGCACGGAAAGCCACGTTCCCCTAAAGAAACAGGAAGTGACGTGCCCTCCTCACCGGCCCGCACAGCGCACGCGTGCGCGTTCACGTCTCCCCGCCCGCGCGCCCTCTAACGGTGGAAGAGGGCCAGGCGTCCGGTTGCTAAGCAACTTGCTAGTGGTCGGGAAAGAAACGCTGGACCGCTGCGGTGGACATCCATCCTGAGGGAGACCTGAGGATCCCATTCGCCAGGCTCAGTCGAACCCCTCAACCCCAGGCCGTCCCACAGAGCTTCATCCTAATAACTAAGAATTTGTTTACTCATGCATGCGTTCAACCAATATTCAATCTTCACTTCTTAAATATTTGAGTATCCCATTTATATGACACGCACTGTCCTAGGCTTTGGGGACACAGAGGGTAACAATATAGCCCAAAGTCCACCCCTGCCCTCACGAAGCTTGCATTTTTAGTTTGGTGGGGTGGGGTGGGTGGGTGTTGGGAAGACCATAGATAAAATGAACTAACTAAATAAAATATAAAATTTATAGGATGTTAGTGTATAGTAATATGTTACATAGCATAATAGTGGAGATAAATAATTTAGAGAGACCTCCTTCTCTATGAACCTAGTGCACTTGTGTATATGGCTTGGGCCGGGGTGGTTCCATCCAGTTCCAGAAGACGAAGGTTAGCTGGCTGGTTCTGTAGATAATCAGGCCTGTGGGGCTCCCAGTGTATGTGTGTCCAGGGGTGAGGAGAGGGTGAGGGCGACCTGGACTTGGGTGCAGGCCCACAGTATCTGGGGCTCCTGGGTGTGCCGCTTCTGCCCTGTGGCAAACAAACTGGAGAAAGCTGCACCCTGCAGGCACCTAGCACTGTAGAAACTTTGAGCCAAGCAGTGGAGAAGAAAGCATGCTCTCCAGGAAACCAGGGAGTGAACCAACCTGGAACCAGGAAGGGAAGATCCATTCTCCTCCAGTGTTCCTCTAGTACATGCTACTGACAAAGCTTAACATATGTTAGTTGGCAAAGGAGATATTTACAAGGCCCAGCTCCATTATCACAGAGTTGACAAAAAGAGTGGATTTGGAGCTGAGAGGCAATAAGTTGATAAATGGCGCAGATGATGTAAAATCACATGGCCTTGTTCAAGCTTGGCAGGTGGTAAGGTGGGGCTAGAGCATGGGGTTCATTGTGAGGGGAGACAAAGGCAAGGAGACAGGCTAGAAAAGTTTGAATAACAGAGTTCTTTGCCTAGTTCATTCCAGGCACCATACTAATAATTTTTGCGCATTTTCTTTGATCCCAGTAACACTAGTAAGGTGTGATTGGTCCTATTTTACAGGTGAGGAAACTAAGTCTCACAGAGGTAAGCTAGTCATCCCAGGTCACACAGTCAGCAGTGGGAGAGGAGAGACTTGAACTCAGGTCTGTAAGGCTCCAAAGCCTCTGCTCTTTCTAACATTCCAGCCACAAAGAAGGCTGAAGCGTTTGGACCAGAGAAGCTTTCTTCTGGGTAGATAGATGGTGTACAGTTTCAGGCTCTGTTTTTCAATATGCTGGACATGACCTGAGTGGATGCGTGAAGGTAGTGTGCTTGATAAATTCATCCATCAATAATTTAGGCCACAAGATTTGCCCAGCAACCGAACCTCATGGCTCTGAACCTCCTCATCTGAGAGCATACAATTGGAAATCAGAGACACTCCTGCTTCATGCTAGGCTAAGCACTTGATTTAGTTTGGCCTAGGGCATATCTGGCCATCTCCCTTTAAACTCCAGAGTGGGAGATTGTGAATATGACCCAGGGAACTGAGGGGTTGACCCAAGCTCAGAAAGCTCCTATCAAGGGTTGGGTTTCTGGCTTGAAGCCAACCTGTCTGATATTCTCCAGAAATAGGGATAAGATCGTCTGAGGGTGGGTGCTTGAGGCTTTATCTTTTAAAGCCTCCTGTATAAGGCTGCTTTCCCAGGGGAGATCTGAACTGAGGTCAAGAATGGAGGCTATTTAGAGCTTGGAGTAGTTAAATTACAAAATATTTGTTCTGAAGAAAGATGCAAGCCTCCCCACACTCCTTTTCACTTATTACTGCATTCGGTCACTGTGCATGGATTTCAGCTTTTTCATTTTTTTCTCATATGCTCACACACATATACAAAAACACTTGCACACACTATTCCATACTTAAATCGTTCTGAAAATAAGAAGCAAGGATCATCAGTGGATGCTAAAACTGTTGGGAGAAAGGTTGTTGAAGAAAAGGATATTCACACAGTCTTAAAGTGTTACCCCACAGGTTACTTATTAATTATTAAAGGAAGAAACTTTCTTTCCAATGGACTGACCTGGTGGACACTCCCTGAACCAAGTGATCAAATTTAGCATCACCAGATGGGATGGGACAAAATGACAAGATGAGGCACAATGTGGGGGACACATCACCTGTGTAAGTCTTCTTGTCAAACATGTTTTAACCTGCATCTACTCAAGAGGAAACATAAAGAAAAATCAGAAAAACCCAGATCGTGGCACATTCTACATGACAGCTAGCTCGGACTTTTCAAAAATGTGAGTGCCATGAAAGGAAAAAAAAAATCCATGGATTGTTGCAAATGAAAGGAAACTGAAAATGAGATGTAATAGATTACCCTTGATTGGATTCCGGATCACAACATTCTTATAAAGAAAATGTTCAGACAAGTGAGGAAAATTGAATATAGATTTTTGGGTGTGATAATGATATTGTGGTTCTGTAGGACCTTGCTAATCAAGGTATGTCCCCAGACCAGCAGTGTCAGCTTCACCTGGGAGCCTATAAGCAATGCAGGATCTCAGGCTCCACCCCAGACCTACTGGGTCTCCAGGTGATCCACATGCACATTTAGTTTGAGAAATGCTAGTGTAGGAGAACCTCCTTATTCATAGAAGGTATAGTCTACCTCATGAACCCAGGTAACTCTGGGTTCTAGATTCTTGTGAGAGAATGGGCAAGGAAGTAGTAAAACTGTATAAATGTTCACTATTATTATCTGCTGAGGCCACAGGGTCTTTAAATATACATGCTTAATAAATCTTTGTATGTGAATGAATATACACATGAATAGTGTTCTCTCCACTTAACCTTCTTTTTCTTATCCCACAACCCTGGTTAACCCCAACTCATCCCTCAGAGCTTGAGTCAAACATCATCTCCTCAGGGAATCTCAGGGAACTTCTGTATTTCTAGCTGAACAGGAGTCCCCAGTGAGTGCCTCAGGGATTTTACTAAGATAGAAGAAATAGGGAAAACACTTACTGTGCCCTCCCTCATACCTCCTTGCATTAAGGCTGGAATCTTCATTTGGGAAAATCTTTTTGGAGGTCAAAACCACTCATGGGGATTGTGTTTTCAGCTCCATAGCCCTAGGGAAATTCTCGCACAGATTTATTAGGGGACATGTCCAAGGATTTTCCTGCAGTGTTTTTGTTTGTTAGCGGGAAGTTAGAGGAAACCTAGGTGTGTGTCACTGGGGAACAGAGAGACAAAATGTGCTGGATGTATATTATAGGACACTAAGCAGCAACCCAGGTGCATGCTAACTTAGTGTATATTCTGGTCAGGGCTGGACAGGACAGCTCATGGTTTCTATCCTTCGTCCTGGCCTAATTATTAATAGAGTCCCTTGCACCCTCGAAAGTGTACTAGTTTGGATAATAACATATGGTCACCATCATAGGTCAGGCACCCTAGAAGCAGAGCCGGAGATGTTAAAATTGTTTAAGTGATTTTGGGGGAGAGTATTCTTAGGAGGAAAGGAATGAGGGGAGAAAAGGCTAAAGCGATAAAAGGCTAAGTGAGGAGAAGGTCTAAGCCAGAGAGTCGTGTCAGCCTGACCCCAAGGGGGGCTCTGGGGCACAAGCTGCACCACAGAGTTGTTCCCGCCTTGAGTGGATTTGTCCGTCATCGGCTCTAGTCTCAGGACAGGGTGTGAGGAGAGGGGGAGTGGTAGTCTCCCTGGCTAATGAGCTCTTGTTTGACCAAGGGCAATTCTCCAGAGAAGGTGGCAGCTGTGAGTGGCTTTCAGTCACTACTCACGACAGCTGGGAGTCGGGCCACTATGTCTGGTAAAGGGGATCTGGGTGGGGCACCACCTGCACCTCTTACAATCCCCCCAACCCTCATCGACACGTAGAGATCTTTCAAATGTAGAGCTGAGCATGTGTGAAAAATGTGTGATATGATTTATGTAAATTAAAAGCCCATATCACACAGAAACATTGCAAAGCTAACAAGGATATTTACATATTAAAGAATACGTATCAAGTACTTTAGAATGGTTGCCTATAGGGGGATGAAAATGAGAGTGGGAAGTGGTAATGAACAACAACAAAAATGTATGTAAGTAAAATGAAACAGGGCCCTTGTGGAAAAACAGTGAGGATAGTCTATCATGAAAGAATAAGTATGATGAACTGATCCCTCTGCTCCTGACATTCAAAAACGAAAATAAAAGATCTTTGAAGACTTAATGATCAAGTTGTCATTTCAGAGTTCCCTTTGTTCTTTGTTGGGCTGAGGACAGGCTGTATTTGCAAAGGGAATGGCAAGTGCCCAAGTGCCATTCTGACAGTGAGTCAGGGTTCTTTGGTTTGCAAGGGCTGGAAGCCCAGCTTGAAGCACTTTAGGCAGGACTGGATAAGCTCTTAAACTCCAAGGAAGAGGTGAATAACCAAATCCCTGGACAGGACAGGACAGGGACAGAGCTGGGCCTCAGTTACCCCCAGAAACCTGGGTGTCTACACTGCCAGGATCCTCTTTGCTTTTCTCTACATACTGTCTTTATTCTCTTTTGCAGAAAAGCTCTGTGCTACAAATGGCAGCCCCCATGAGCTGAGTGAGCATGTCATGATTTGCCTCAGGAACCTGCAGGCTCCCGGGTTCACGAGCCTCCTTGGCTCAGCATGGTCAGGGTGTCCAGCTCCACTTTCACAAGGCCTCTGGGATGGGTGAGGCTTCCATTACATGGTCTGAGTCTGGGATCAATGAGGATGCCTGTAATCTTGGGCCAAAGCGTAGGATGT